TGACCCTATTACTTCCACCTTCCAAATGCTGGAATTACAGACTTGATTCACCATACCCATCTGAGAATACCTTGTAATCCTAGCTACTTGGGAGGCTAAGACAGGAGGATCATAAACCTGAGACCACTCTGGCCTACTTACAGAGACCCTATTTTAAGCCAAGCAAGCAAGCAAGCAAGGCACAGATCTGATCTAAAGACTACATAGAGCAGCCAGGTGTGGTGTGGTAATGCATGCTTCCCAGTACTTGGGAGGCAGAGGCAGGTAGATCTCTGTTTGATGTCAAACTGACATACATAGTGAGTTCCAGGACAGCCAAGAATATTACAGAGAGAAAAGCTGTCTCAACAAGCAAACAAAGAAACAAACAGACTACCTAGAGAACTTTGCTAAAAAATACACATTTTGCCAGGTGGTGGCGGTGAACACCTTTAATCCCAGCACTCAGGAGGTAGACGCAGGCAGATCTATGTGAGTCTGAGGCCAGCCTGGTCTACAGAGTGAGTTCTATGACAGCCAGGGCTACACAGAGAAACTCTGTCTTGGGGGAACAAAACAAAACAATCAACCAACCAAACAGCCAAACACCCTCTCCCCCACAAAAAAACCTAAAGCAAAACAAAAAATTCCACATTCCTAGGCCTCTCTCCTAAGACTCACATTTTAAATTGCATATTTTGTAGCTGTTGAATTACAGATCAGTTAAGTTTTGGATGCTTATTTTAGGCCATTGGTTCTGGAGGATTTTAATCTTACCCAGTGCTCAGTTTCATTTCCACCCATGGAGAGGATTAAGGTAACAATAGGGAACATTTACTGAACACTCCCATGTGTCAGGCGCCACACATTTAATCCCCCGTAAACCCTCTAGGTCAGGAGTACAGCCCTCCTAATTTATAGATGAAGACAATGGGGCAGAGGGAGCAAGAAGCTTGCCAGACACAGAGCTAGAGAGATGTAGGGATCCTAATCCATGCCCTTAAGCAAGGGAGCACTATCTGAGGTTACTATTGTGAACCACTGCATTGGCTTTGCATGGAAGCTAACCTTCTAAAGGGAGCAATCATTTAATCATCCATCCAAAATCTACTTACTAAGTCCCTACCCTTTGGCCTATGTAGTGGTTAACAAAACAGAGAAAGAACTTTCACCTGGGGGACTTGTAGCATAGGGGGAGATGAAGAAGAAGAGGAGGAGGAAGAGGAAGAGAAGGAAGAAGAGAAGGGAAAAAAGGATAACAACAATAACAATAATAATAATAAATCAAGATAAATAAGTATAATAGGTATTTGGCTATGTATGATGGTAAAATCTTAATTTCTATGTATATTAGATCACTGTACAGTTTTGTTTTGCTTTTTTTTTTTTTTTTTTAGGTTTGTTTGAAAAACAGGGTGTCTCAGTGTAGCCCAGGCTGGTCCTGAACTTGAAATCTTCCTGTTTTAGCCTCCTGAGTGTTCAGAACATAGGTGTGTTCTGAGCCTATATGAAGTTTAAATATGATGTATCAACTGTATTCACATTAATGAAATGATAACAGAATCCATTATTGCTCGAATATGAAAATAACATGTCTCCTCTCCATAGGCTGTTTTGTGAAGACCTTGGACATTCAGCCTCTGTTCTAAAGCTTTCTAGCCCAGCTATTGTTACACCTCAGGGTTCTGGCTCAATCCTTGCTCATATCCAAAATATTGGGGGAAGGCACAAAACAGATATCTAATTCAGTAAATCAAGTCTGAGGTCATTGAAGGTGTTTGCAGGAAGCTTCTGGGATTTTTGTTCCGGAGCAGAGAGTTGAGTCGGCAGTGATCTCTTTCTTTGAACAAACACAGGAAAACTGCATCAAGAGTTCTAAGGAAAAGAAAACGACTTTAAATACCAAGCCGAGTTCGTCAGAAAATACTGCAAGTCTCCTAGTATCAATGAAACAGGGGGGCTGGGGCTTGGAATGGGGCTTAGTTTGTAGAGCACTTTCTTAGCATGCAGGAAGGCCTCACTTCAATCTCTAACTGGCTGTGGAAATGCATACCTATAATCCCAGCACCAGAGTGGCAGAGGTGGACAGTCTGAAGGTCAAGGTCATCTTCAGTTACATAGTGAGCTTGAGACCAGCCTAGGATATGTAAGACCTGACTTAGAAAGAACAGAACAAGGGAGAAGAAAGGAAACTGGAGGGACCTGACCTTGGAAGCAGCAGCTCAGGTGTGGTGGTGCACATCTGCAATTCTAGCCTTCTCTGTGTGCCTGTCAGGGTCTGTGCCGCTGACCACACCTCGGCCCATCTTCTGCTTGGTCTCTTTGGTTGTCCCTTTCTGCCTTCAGAAATAGGACTTTCTTGTTCTCTAGAGGGGCTGGTCCAACCTTTACAGAATTTAATCTGTAGAAAAGCAGTGTCTCCGTCTAAAGATGTTCCAGATACTTTCAAGTGGGGGAATACCCAACAAAAGAGACACTCTGGTACTGTGCAGCGTCTCTGCCCACTGCGCCACTGTCCTTCCCTTCCTTCCTGTAAATGGCCCTTCACGTTCCTGAGTCCCGTCTGCTCCGAAACCTGACTTCTTTCGACCAATTTTCTCTCAACTAGCAAGTCAATGAATTTAAGTTCTATAATACTCTCCCTTTTTAATTTACAAAAGTGTCTGTATGTGAGAAATACAGAGACAGAGAGACAGACAGACAGACACACAGACACACAGACACACACACACACACACACACACACACACACACACAGAGTGTTCATGCACATATGTGCTGGGGCCATGGAGGTCAGAAGAAGGCACTGGATTCCTCAGAGCTGGAGTCACAGGCATTTACAGGTTTTGGCTGGAGGCCGACACTACAACACCTGGAGAGGTGGCTCAGTTGGTAAAAAAGCATGAGAATCCGAGTTAGAATCTCTGGCACCTATGTAATGTGGTTGTACTTACTTGTAATCTTTGTGCTGGAGGTGGGGACAGGCAGGGACAGATGGATACTCAGAACTTGGCCAGCCAACCTAACTAAGAAAACCACAGAGCGCAGATTCAGTGAGATAGTCTGTCTCAGGGAAGTAAGTCAGAGAGCCTGCCATAGAGGATTACACTCAGTGATTTTCTTTGTACCTACACACATGAATTCACACACAAATCAATCATATAATTTTTAAAGACTATGATCTCATTCCTTCTCCCTCTCTCTGTTTGCTGAAGATTTAACCTAGAGCCTCACATATATATACTAGTCAAGTGTTCTGTGGTTGAACCAAATCTCCCTTTTCTTTAACCCCTAATTTGGGGGGGGGAGGGGAGCAGCTGCATTTTCTGGAGGTGCAAAGTGGAACTGTTGTTACTGCCAAGCAGCCAGGGAGGGTCTGCAGCCTTCTAAGTGGCAGAGGAGTGAACCTGAAAGAGCACTGTCAAGGAGTGAGATAACTACAACCCTGCCTCACACCTTAATCTGAGTCAAGGAGAGGAGAAGAAGAGAAAGAAGAGAGGAAAGGTGGGGACACTCTGAGCTGCAGGATCAGGCTAAATTGCATACAAATTCCTGATCCAGAGAAACCAGGAAAAAAAAAAAAAAGTTTAACTTCTTAAAAGCTGCAAAAGATTGGGGTGATTTGTTACCCAACATTGTACAATTAATTGAAGAGCATTACTTATTATTCGAAATCACTATGTGATGCCCCAAAAGATTGAGAACTGCCTCGGAGCAAAAGCTAGCAATCTCCAAAAACAGCTTGTTTCTTCATAGACACAGATGCCCTTACATGTGTTTTCCTTTCCAGTTTTGGCCACCAGGAAGCTCAGCATCAGTCATGGCTCAGTTTTAATAATGCTGCAAGCCCCTATGGCCTGCTTATTTGTCTTCTCATGTCGGTCTCCCCTTTCGTTTTCTTCTGATTTTCCCTTTTCCAAGTCTTGATTTTTTTTTTAGTTCATTTTAATCCTTTTTAAACATATTATGTTAAATCCACATCAAATTCAAATTATAGAGTATTCATGAACCCATTTTAAAAATAAGGTTTTTTTTTTTTTTAAATGTAAAAATAGTTTTGCACATTTTAGAAAAGTTTTTCACATGTTGAACACAAAATGACTGGAGGTGGTGCCTGGGGAAGATCATGTCACACAACGTGTCTCTGGAGCTCTGGAGCCATTGGTCAGGGATAATTTGGATTGGATAAGAAATATCAAGTGATAACGACGAAAAAGAGGGGGGTAAGGCAATTGATTGCTACCAGGGGCCAAGGGCTTGCCCAGTCATGCCCAGTCACCGTAGTAGTATCTTTGAAATAGATCCCTTGCAACAGCCCCCTAAGGCTAAGCCAAGCCACCTCGCGCCTCACCCCTTCCGCGGCCACACCTCTCACCTCCTCTGGCCCCGCCCCTGCCCTCTTCCAGCTCACCAGAGTTTATGCGCTCCGCCCCTTCCCTTCGCTCCCGCCCCGCCTTGCCCCGCCTCTCTTCTGACCGCGCCCTCCAGTCTAAAGAACCCCATTTCTCAGTCCCGCCTTCCGCTTGCGCCACGCAGCCCTGGCTGGTTGCAATCTTCGCCTCTTCCCCGCCCGCGCCTTCTCCCCCCCACGCCCGCCCCTTTTAACGAAGCCACGCCCAACCCTCAACCACGCCCCCCGCATGCGCCGCACCGCCTCCCTGCTGTTGCGAGCTCCGCCTCCTCCCGCTATACTTATATACGCCTTCCTTGCCCCGCCCCAATTCTGGTCAATGCCCCGCCCATTCACAAGCCCTTTTCCTTCCCCAGACCCCGCCCTCCGCATGCGCCGCACCGCCTCCCTGGCGGTTGCGCGCTCCGCCCCTCCCTCCGTGCCCGCGCGCGCCTTCCCCGCCCAGTCCGCCTCACTCCTCTCGGGGCGGTTGGGCCGCGCGCCTGTGGGGGCGGGGCCCGGAGGAGGCGACCGAGCCAATGGGGCGCGGCGGTGGCGGTGGCGGCGGCGGCGGCGGCGGAGGCGGTGGCGGCAGCGGCGGTGGCTGGGTCGGGCCCCGACGGGCGGCAGCGTCTGAGGTGGAGGCCGAGGGAGGCGGCGGCAGCGGCGGCGGCGGCGGCGGAGGGGGGAAGATGGCGGCGCCCGTCCTGCTGAGAGTGTCGGTGCCGCGGTGGGAACGGGTGGCCCGGTATGCAGTGTGCGCCGCCGGGATCCTGCTCTCCATCTACGCCTACCACGTGGAGCGGGAGAAGGAGAGGGACCCGGAGCACCGGGCCCTCTGCGACCTGGGGCCCTGGGTGAAGTGCTCCGCCGCCCTGGCCTCCAGGTAGCCCGCCTTGAGTGAGGGGAGCGCGACGCGGGCGGCGGCGGGGGGGGGGGCGGGGAGCGCGCGGGGAGCTCCGGCCTGAGGGAGCGGGGCCCGGGCCGCGACCCGGACGGCGGCGCCCGGGGGGCGGCGGCCCAGGGCAGGCCTCCGGGGTGAGGTGGCGCGGTGCAGCCGGGAGGGCGCGGGCGCGTCCCGGCCGGCGTGACTTGTCTCCCTGTTGTCGCCGTGCGAGGCGCGTGAAGACCCCGGTGCGGGGCTCGGCGAGGCCGGCGTCCACCCCCCGCGGTCCCCGGACCTCCGCTGCCCGGGGCTCTGAGTCCCGCCGTGCGCTCCCCGGGGTGGGGGGTGGCCTTCCCCACCGCGGTCCCGGTTGCTCGGGACAGGTGTTGTCGGTGCTCAGGCCTTTTTGTACTCCGGTGGAGTTCAGGAGACTTGGCAGCCTTCTGGAGGCGACAGTGACATTTGCGGGTAGACACTCATTTGACCCTACTCTGGAGGAGGAAGGTAACCAGCGCTTGGTCGGTCTGATTTCGTGGGTTTTTCTCCCTCGTGTATTTCATGAAGTGTGCCCAGCAGGAGGAAAATGGCCAGAGTTTGGGTCTACTTTAAGTTTTCAGCAAAACATGAGTGTTGTGTGAAGTGATGAGGTTCTAGGCACCACGATGACTTTTATTTTGAGAAAGGATCTGAATTGTAACCCGCATTGGCCTGAAACTATTTCTGACTGTAACCACTGCAAGCTATTTTACCTTAGTCTTTTGAGTTGGGAAATACAAGCATGCAGCACCATGAGTGACTTAGAATGACTTTTCAGTGTTGCTGATTAGTATTAACGGGATAATCCGAAAAAGATTAAATGTGCACAACTTTGCTAAGCTGTTCTGTTGGAACAATTTTTGTTTCTTGAAAATACAATCGATTTTTTTTTCTGTTAAATTTTATTTAACATCTTTTTTTTTTTTTTTTGGAAAAAAGTATTTTACACCTTTTTAAAATGCTTTTTTTTTCCTTTCTTTTTTAGAAAAAGGATAGCAGTCACCAAAAAAAGTAAAAGTGAAAAGAATTAATGCAGAATTGATAGTCTGTAATTTTAAGAGACTTCCCACCTCTGATATCTTGATGTTTGTTAACAGTGCTTACATTTCACTACATTCCTTCCTTCCCCTCCTTCTGATAAATTGCTAGGGAGACATAAATGTATAGCTCACTAGTTTGTTTTGACCTCCATATTGGTAGAGGAGTATTTGAACAAGCTAGGAGTTTCTCCTGTGTTTATTTGGAAACTTAAAAGGCTGTTGCTCTTCTCCACTTAGCTCTTCTCATAGACCAGGTAGACTATCCCATTTTCTCTTACATGAAATTCCTGCAGCTTTTTAGTTGAAAAATGGTTGTCATTATGGCCTCATTAAACATTTTTTAAAATGGGATGAGGATGCGAGCACCGATTTATATTGCAGAATGTATCAGTGTGACAAAGAGTCTGCAGGAGTTTATTTCCATTCAGGTTAAGTCTTAGACTTACTTGAGACATTTTGAGACCCATTGAGTGTATCTTGCTTTTATTGCACTTATTTTTGTTGGGGGGTGGGGAGTTCACACAGTTTTGGAGGTCAGTGGACAACATGTGGGAGTCAGTTTTGCACCATATGGGCCCTAGGGGATTGAACTCAGATCATCAGGCTTGGTGGCGAGTGTTTTTACCAGCTGAGCCATCTCATTGATCCCACTGAGTATATTTTATGCACACATTTTTTTTTATGTTCTTTACACTTTTGAAAAGGATTATTAAGCTTAAGTATAACACCCAAAATTAGTTGAATGAATAAATACAGAGGAAAAAGAATATGCAGAAGCGTTTTTTAAGTGTTTACAACCACAAAGTAAAAATGAGTGGATAGGCTAATAGGAAATTTAGTTATAATTATTATTAACTTTAGATTTGGTCATGTATAAAGTAATTTGCTGTGTGTTTAAATTCTTAAAATGGGCTTTCCTTTAAGCGACTGTTTCTGAACCACTTAATAAATATACACTAAATAGTCTCACAGTTAATAAGTACCACAAGCAACCCATTTTCATGCTTTTTATTTTTGAGACAGGGTCTTCCATTGACGTTCTGGCCAACCTTGAACTGAAAGCAGTCTTCCTGTCTCAGCCTCCTCATTACTGGGATTATAGCCTTGCCTACACATTTGTTTTTATTTTGCTTTTTAATAAGACATGATAAAATGATATTTAGTAACATCAATTAATAAATACAATTATTTTAAAGTATGTTAGACTAAAAATTTCTGTCTTTCATTGGTATTGGATATTGAACATAGGGCCTGCCCAATATTAGGCAAACTCTTAGTGACTGAGTTTCATTCCTAGCTCACTTATTTTTTATTTAATTTTTTGTCAGTCTTACTGTGTAGCGTTGACTGGCTTAGTTCATAGAGATCTGCTTGCTTCTGAATTCAAAGAGCTGAGATTAAAGGTGTATGCCACCATGCCCAGCATTGTTGGTTTCTTAACACAGGTCTCATGTAACCCAGGTTAGCCTCAAACTTGCTATGTTGCAGCATAGATTGAGGTTGGCCTTGAACTCCTAAGATCCTCCACTGTTCATGTTCTGAGATTACAGGTGTGCAGCACCATGCCTAACTCCTATTTCTTTATAATATATAAAATGTGAATTTAGTATGTTGTGGCTAAATGTAATATTTAGTTATATAGTGATGTATGTAAGTATATCTTAAGTTTGGGGTTGGAGAGATGGCTTACCGGTTAAGAGCACATACTGCTTGCTCTTCCAGAGGATGAGTCCAATGCCCATCACGCATACTGAGTGGCTCACAACCACTTTAGCTCCATGGGATTCAATGTCTTTTTTCTTTTTAGATTAAAAAAAATATTTTAATGTGTATGAGTGCATTGCCTGTTTATACATATATGCACCACATACATGCCTGATGCCTGTAGAAGATGGCATTGGGTCCCCTGGGACTAAGGTTACAGGCATTTGTAAGCAGCCCATGTGGGTGCTGGGAATCAAACACAAGTCTTATATAAAAACAAGTGCTCTTAACCTCTGAGCCAGCTCCAGCCCTTCAATACCCTCTTTTGGCCTCTGAGGACACCTGCGCTTTTGTGCACATACTCACACGTACACGCATGACTAAAAAAAAGTTTTTAATATTTTAAAATTCGATGCCTGTGAAAGGATAGGTAAGAGGTAAGACATTCTAATGGTAAATACATCTCATATGTACAATAAAACACTTTCAGGAAATAGCCTTTTTATTAACTGTCTTGAAAGAGGTGTGTGTTTGTTTAATGAAGATAAGAGGATTTAGATAGTTACCTTTATAGACTAATTTTCTTTTGGAATTGTGTATAATAAACATCTGCAAGATGCTCTTGACAATGTGAGAAATCCCTTAAATGAGACATTATTAGAGGCTCCACATTAGTAATTTTGTTTGAAAATTGACTCCCAGATAGCAGTAGTATTCAAAAATGTAGTTATTTCAGGATGAGAAAGTTTGAGCTCAAGAGTTAGTAGAATAAATGGTAGAAGAAGTTAGCAGAAGAGATGATTGCTGAGCAATTATTTTTCTGGATCCGTGTTTACTCACATGAATTGCTTAAATTTACTTTATTCTTATTTCTCAATTTTTAAGTTTCTTAATTGAAATAGAATAAGGTAGGGATTAATAATATTAAGACAGTTTTGAAGTCTGTGTCTAAGTCCTTTAGTGTTTTGGAAAGTGTAATTACATAACAGTATTTTCAGACTTTTGGATTTCAAAAGAGACATTTCCCCAAAGATTAGAAGCAGCAGAATTGCCAATAACAACAATGGCAGTAGAGCCAGGCATGGTAGCACATGTCTCTAGTCCCAGCACTCATGAGGTGGAGACAGGGATCTTTGTGAGTTCAAGGCCAGCCTGATTTACATAGCAAGCTTCAGGACAGCCAGGGTTACCTAGAGAGACCCTGTCTCAAAACAAGCAAACAAACAAAAAACAACTTACCACCAAAACCAAAAAATAGTAATGCTACTATTTGTTACCATCATTGGTTCATTTTTAGGTGTTTTAAGCAATTTGAAAGAACAGAATCTTAAAATAACAGATCTTTATATTGAATCATTTACCTTTAATTGAAATGTTTATATTAAGTAAGGATTTAATTTCCAGTACCACAAAGAGGATCTAGAAATGTGCTGTTTCTTTGTCAGAATTGTAGACTTGATGAGGATTACAGAGGTAGTAGCAGATGGAAAAGCTTGGCTTCTAGAGTAGCAGTTTAGAGCTTCCCTCACCTTCCTTCTTTTGGAGACAGGTTGCCCTGTGTGGCCCAGGCCTGCCATGAAGTCACCATTGATCTGCTTCTGTTTCCCCAGCAATGGCTGTGTACCACCATGCTCAGCCCAACTATTTAAAAATTTTAAATAAGTTTTCATCGGATGTTCTGACTCACCTCTTGCTTTTTGCTAAGCATGATTTCTACCACTCTGTACTTTAAGTGCTTGTATTTGTATCAGATAAGGGTTGGTAACTGTGAGTGTGTGAAAGAAAACTTCCTAATTTCATGAATTCAGATGAATTGAAAAAACAGATTGCTGTGTTGCCATTGTAATTTGTAACATAAATCTCAGAAGCAGCCGAAGCCAAAAGGGGAATAGAAAGAGGTGAATGTGGATGCCTACCATGTAGTAAAGACAGATGTGTGCTTATGGGGTGGGCTTGTTCTGTGCAGCAGTTTGAACATTTATATTATCCTTTTAACTGTCTTTTTGAGCTCAGTAACATCACTGCTTTACAGAGGAGAAACTGAGGCACACTGTGTGGGTGAAATATGTATCAGAGAATGTAAAGGCAGAGGCCTGACTGACTCTAAGGACTCCAAGAATTTTACTATTTTAAAATTTCTTTATTATTAGAGGGGAGGGGAGGCATATGTGGTGGTTAAGAGGACTTTGTGGAATAGCTCTTCTCCTTTCACCTTTACTT